CTCCGGTCAGCCGTCGACCCTCGGCTTCGTTGCCAAGGCGAGCCCCACCGCCCCCCAGGGCAGTGAATTTAACGTGTTTATGTAATTTTTCAACTTTTTACGAAACTTAATGTCCCGAGTAGCTCTCGACGAGGCCAATCGATTGACGCTAGTTTTGTTGTTGTCGGTAAGGTAACGAGTCTCGTGTCGCTACGCGGTTTTTCCCAACCCGGGGAAGTGATGGGACCCCGGGGTCCCGCCAATTGCTTCAAATTACGGCCACATTGTAATGGTTTATATTGGCGAAGCCTGCATGTTTCTTGCTGTTGTTTCCCTCAGTGCATTATAACCGTGGCTTTCGACATGTGGTTAAGTAGTGAAGTGTGTCGTCTTCTCGATATGGATACAATTCTCCTGCCACTTGACTTGGGAGCAGCCAACGAGCAGACAAAACTACCCCCTTCACAGTACTGTCTGTCCCTCCACGGAAGACACGTGTTTTTTTCATACATCCAATCAGACACACGGCCTTCTCGACCAATGCTGTTGTAATCTTGCAATGCCTAAAAAAAGGCAGTGTGACTGATTGGGAAGGTGAAAGACTTCTCTTTATTTGACGCGGGACAGACGCTTGAAGGAGGCAGTGACGTCTGCTTGTGTTTCACTTTCATAAATATCCTCGTCAAAGCGACCACCAAAAACCGTCCCAAACATCGACTAACTCCATGCAAAACGATAAACATCACCATCCTAACAATAAATCTGAACAATAAAGTCACTATTGGTTAGTGGTTAGTGTTGGTAGGGGTGGTGTTGGTAAGTGGTGTTAGTAGGGTTGGTATTGGTAGGGTTGGTGTTGGTAGGGTTGATGTTGGTAGGGTTGGTGTTGGTAGTGGTAAGTGTTGTTAGTAGGATTGGTGTTGGTAGGGTTGGTGTTGGTAGGGTTGGTGTTGGTAGTGGTAAGTGGTGTTAGTAGGGTTGGTATTGGTAGAGTTGGTAGGGTTGGTGTTGGTAGGGGTAAGTGGTATTGGTAGGGTTGGTGTTGGTAGAGTTGGTGTTGGTAGGGTTGGTGTTGGTAGGGTTGGTGTTGGTAGGGTTAGTGTTGGTAGGGTTGGTGTTGGTAGTGGTAAGTGGTGTTAGCAGGGTTGGTATTGGTAGGGTTGGTGTTGGTAGGGTTGGTGTTGGTAGGGTTGGTGTTGGTAGGGTTGGTGTTGGTAGTGGTAAGTGGTGTTAGTAGGGTTGGTATTGGTAGAGTTGGTGTTGGTAGGGTTGGTGTTGGTAGGGGTAAGTGGTGTTGGTAGGGTTGGTGTTGATAGGGTTGGTGTTGATGGTGGTAAGTGGTGTTAGTAGGGTTGGTAGTGGAAGGGTTGGTGTTGGTAGGGTTGGTGTTGGTAGTGGTAAGTGGTGTTAGTAGGGTTGGTAGTGGGAGGGTTGGTGTTGGTAGGGTTGGTGTTGGTAGGCATGGTGGTGTTAGTCGGAGTAATGGTGTTGGTAGGGGTGGGGTTGATATGTGGTGGTGTTCGTCGGAGTGGTGGCATTTGGCCAGCGTGACGGTTTTGGTAGGGGTGGTGGTGTTGGTAGCGTGGGGTTGGTAGTGGTGGTGGTGTTGGTAGGTGTGTGTCCGAGCGTGTTTGTGTGCGCGTGTTCACGCGTGTGTGTTTGTCTTTGTCTGTGTGCCAATGACTGGTACCAGCTGTATCAAGATCGGTCTCTGTTGAGGAGGCTCGTGAAGGACGCTACTTGGCAGTTGGAGACAGTCGCCCTCCAGCAATAACCGAGGTCAGACGAGCGATACAATGAGTGGAGGGCCGGGTGGCTAAAACACAGCAAGTTGGCACAGTCGGGGACACAGGTGGTGCATCAGCCAGTGATCTCAGTCAGTTGACCCATGGCACCTGGGCCTGTCCCGTGACCTGCTGCCAGCGGGCGTTTCGACACTTCACGTGGCTTTAAAGTGCACTTCGCCTGGCACAAGCGCCGTGGTTGTGTCACCGGCACTTAGTGGCGAATAGCAATTATTTCAATCTGGTACAGATACAATGGGAGGCTGATCGATGCCTGAGTGCGGTCAAATGATGGCTGATGATCTGGTGATTGCTGTTCACTCAGAGGAGGAGTTGGAGGTACTGCTGCTGAACTTAGAGCATGCCACTACGAGATGGGGCCTTACCAATAACCCCACCAAAACTAAGCGCCTGTCTGGGTATTTTGTGCCATCAAACAATCCATAGGGCAGTTGTGGAGAGAGTGGAGAGTTTTCAATACCTGGGCAGTGTGCTCATGACCTGCTCCGGTTTGACAGCAGAGGTCTCACTCCGAATCAGCCGAGCAGCATTATATTTTAATCGACTGCGTAACGCTGTGTGGAAGCTACCTGGTCTGTCACTCCACAGGAAGCTTCAGACCTCTTCGTCCACGGTCATTCCCTCCCTTATTTCTGCTTGTGAAACGTGGACCCCCCTAATGGAACATCTTCACCGGTTAGAAACATTTAGGCTGGCCTTCCTACGATCCATCCTGGGTTTAACCAGACTGGATCGTGTGTGGAGCTCACAAATCCTTGAAAGTTTAATTCGTGAGCTCCTCTAGCAGGCAACGCTGCATTGGCTGGGTCATGTAGCCCGCATGCCCGGCCACCGCATGCTTAAACAGCTGTTGTTCGGCTGGATAGAGGGGGCTAAACTGGCGCTACAGGGCTCAAGAAGAGGTGGAGTGATGTGGTACAGGAGGATGTGGAGCTGAGTGGACTTGGATGTTATTAACCAGGTAAGTCATAACGTGATTTGATGTTTCCATCCTTCCTGCCGTTGTTTAGCAGTTATTTCCGACTGAATTCTCACTGTCACGGCCACCGTCACGGTGATTCTCCGAAGTTGATACGCTGGCCTCTCACTGTGCAGCAGCCAACGCCGCAGCTTGTGTTTCCCACGAGGTGGCGCTATGCCCGGTCCTCTGACACAGACACGCTATCTTCACTTACATAGCCACCGCTGCCCCCTTTTGCATCGATATAACGGTAGCTCTCGCTGTTCAACAGGCTGTATGTCTCTCCCATTAGCGCAGCTGTTGTGCGTGCGTGCGACTACGGGGCTCATTTCCCCACTGTGCTCGTTTGCATGAGCATGCCGATCCTCCTTTAGCGCAGCTGCTGTGCGTGCGTTCGGCAACGGGACTGCTTTCCATGTCTGACCCCGCCTACTTACCCTTGGGTGACACCCACCTCAAGCCTCTATATAGCTTCTTGTTACAACAGCCCTTTCTTGTTCGGCAGTCCTACTGCTGTGTCTTTCTACCTGATGACGATTGCTTGCGTTGCGATCGAAACGTCGTGATTTATTATTTATTTTTCACCTACGTTGGAGGCAGTCGCCCACCAGCAACAACGGAGGGCAGCGGAGCGACGCTCACAACAACGAACGGAGCGCCGGGTGGCTAAAGCACAGCAAGTTGGCACAGTAGGGGGCACAAGTGGTATGCAGCCAGTCGACCCATGGTGCCTGGGCCTGTCCCGTGACCTGCTGCCAGCGGGTATTCGACGCGTCGTGTGGCCTTAAAGTGCACTTAGCCTGGCACAGTGACGTCACCACCACTCAGTGGCGAATGGCGGTTGCTGTTGTAGTAATTGTGGGAACTCATTAAGCCGCTTCCGACAGGCAAGCGAACATCAGGACTCCCAGACCTCCGATTAGCACGGTTGGCTACGTACGGTGTGAAACAAGTTCAACAAAATACCCACAGGACTCAAGGTAAGTGTTCATAAAACAATATTTTACTTCTTTTCACGTGATTTTATATTATATTTACATTACGGTATTCATCACATTACATATATATGTACAATATATCTTCTAATTTGAAATTATCAATGCTTCCCTCTTTATTGAACCATAACACATTTTATAACACTAGCCATATGGGCATTTAAATATAGTACATTATAGTGTTCTGACTTATGAACTGTTCGACAAACAAACGGTTCTCTAACCGTGGCAAGGTCATCATCTGAGAAGTGCCTGAATGAAAACCAGTGAGGGGTGAGACCAGCTACGTTACTGGGCTAGACTTGTGTGTGTGTAGTGTGTCGGTGTAGTGTATGTGTGTAGTGTGTGTGTAGTGTGTGTGTGTAGTGTGTGTGTGTAGTGTGTGGGGGGGGTGTTGCGGTTAGTGCGCTGGACTATAAACCAGGAGACCCGAGTGTGATACTCAGTGTGTGTGTGATGTACAGGCAGACTGACGAACGTCCGCACTTACGAACGAGCTTACTTAAGATAATTATTTTTAACGATCTGGCATTTGAATGTGATCTCGCATTTGTGAACCGAACCGCTGAACTATTGGTTTGGCAAATGTACAATAATTATTCTAACTTATTAACTTAAGAGTTTAACACCTAGTAGGAGGCTGTCGTGACCAATATCATCCATAATAGAGGTTTGTTGGGTTAGATCGCGTAAATATGTAAATGTGTCGTTAAGCCTGCCACCACCCGACACAACCAATGAGTAAGGTTTGTCACGTAAACAGAACGTGCCAATCCGTTACGAGTACAGCACAATTGCCCGAATGGCAATGGATACCCAAATTCATTTATATTCATTCATTAACCCCTCCCCCTTCGCCCAAGAAGAGCACACAAGTGACGTCATCACATCTACCCCTATATTTAAGGAACAAAACAGGGGGATTTCTCCACACATTTATATATTTACACGATTTAACCAAAATACCTGTATTATAGTATTTTAAACGTTTCCCTTTTTTAATTGAACCGTAAGACATTTTATTTAAAAACAGTACATTATTATGTTTTGCCTTACAAACAGTTCGACTTATGAACGGGTCTCAAGTATGGAATCCGTTCGTAAGTCGGTGACTGTCCATATTAGTATTGTGTGTGGTGTGTGTATGGTGTGTGGTGTATCATGGGGTGAATGGGGTGTGTGTTTGTGTATGTGATAGTGGTTTTGTTGAAACGAATAAACTAGGACCACCACCCCCTCCACTGCCTTCGCTACCCATGGCTATTCTGTAGTGGCCCTGCCTCTGCAGAGCAGCACGCGGCATAAGAATGAGCGGATCGCTCTTCCCGCACGAGCCATTCGAGACCGCTTCTTCTTCTTCTTCTTTTCTCCCTCCGCGACGACCATCATCTCCTCCATCTCCTCCTTGTCCTTCTCCAACACGATATCCTCTTCCTTCTCTTCCTCCACCATCTCCTCTTTCATCTTCTCCTCATTCTTCACCATCGTCTTCTCATTCTTTGCCATCAAGGTCTCCTCCTCCTCCAGAACCAATGTGTTCTCGTCCTCATCATCCTCTTCCTCCAGAACAAGTGTCTTATTGTCTTCATCATCCTCCTCCTCCACCACCACCACCTCCTCCTTCGTCTTCACGTCGTACTCCACCATCTCCACATTCTCCTCCCCGATCTTCTGCTCCACCTCCAACCTCTCCTTGTCCAACACCTCCATCTCCATCGTCTCCTCCTTCAACTCCTTCAGCACGTCCTTGTCCACAACCTCTGTCTTCTCTACAGAGGCCTGGGTGCGCGAGGACGGCTGCACCGGGTCCGGTCTGCGAAGAGACGCGCACGAGACCGTTCTATTCTCCCGCTACGACAGAGATCGCAGTCAGCTACCGATCATGCAAAGATTGGTTTAAACTTGTTGCAGATTAACCGAGCTTAATAATATCAGAATAATAATTATAATACGCCAGCAGCAATAACTATGGCAGGAGGCCAGTTTTAAACCACGACCAACAAGCGACAACGAGCGCTACCGCCTGGCCCATGTGACCTCCACAATTGTGGAAGATTTCCACGATGGTGATTTGTGTTTGGAAGAGCCACGCTCCTTCGCGCCGGGGCACCTCAGAACACGTGGCACGTGAGAAGCGACTTGCATCGCATTCTCACCGTAACACATTGTGAAAGGGGCCAACCCCCGGTGGTAGCTGTCACGCGCGGTATAAAGTGACTTAGCACCTGGGCTGAAAGCGGGCATTGGTCCGCCAATGTTGTGACGGTGAGTTGCCATGGGCAAGATAACACGTGGCTTGATCATTGCGTGGCCTCACCCAAACATCAATCGTGGAAAATAAATGTTTCGATTTAAAGCTTTCGTGACTGCAGGGATTCATCTTCTTGGTTCTTTCGGTAAAGTCACGTAGAATGGAAATATTTTATCACGTTTCATTTTTATTATTTTATTTCCATTCTACGTGACTTTACCGAAAGAACCAAGAAGACGAAAATGAATGTGTTTGGAGCCTAATCTACGTGTGGGTTTGGCATTGTGGGTGTGGTTGCGAGGGTGGCAGGCTGGCAGTGCAGTTTGAACGCTTGAGCCTCACAGCAATAATGTCATGGGTTCCATTCCCAACATGGGCCACTTTCTCTGTATGGCCACTATGCTCTCCCCCTGGACTGCGTGGGTTTCCGTCGGGTTCTGCAGCTTTCTTCCATAGCTGAACCCACGCAAGCGATGCAAGTGGTGTGGGATAAACATGCCAATGTAAAAAAATATATATTTGTAGTCGATTCGGATATGCACAACAAAACCGTGTTCCCTACTGCGAACAGAACGTAGCAGTTCCCTCCTGAAAAGTCTTGAAACTCCTGGGTCAACAAGTGTAAAAATAACAGTAATAATAACACACGCAAAGGACACACGCACATTCAGAGTGGCTTACCGTCGTTCAGTGGCTCCAGAGTTTGCGTCATCTTTTCTCGAGGCCAGAGCGATTGAGCCCTGGACACTGTCGGGAGAGGTGGTGGTGGTGGTGGTCGTGGCTGTTGTTGTTGCTGGGCCTTGTTGACTGGGCTCACGTGTCCCTGTACTCTGGAGCCAGCTATGAAGCAGCGCCTTGACAGATGTCATTCGGTGATTCGGGTCCCATCTGTTGGAACACAAGGACACACACGTGGTGAACACGATGAGAGCGATGATATAAGAGTTGATGCCTTTGTGTGTCGGCATAATGATCCAACTTTGCCAAAAACATCGAAGATTACACTTCAAATTGCTCAATTAAAATAGTCGATTTCTCTTTTTTAACCAGGTAAAACGCACTACTGAGTGTGGGCGACCTGCCCACACATGATGACAGCTCACAAAAGTGGCCCATCACATGCTTATAGTAACCAAAAACCAAAAAATCTGTTTCGGAATGTAAACGGAAAAACTGCAAAAATAAAAAATAATCCGTGCGACCACCACCGGGAGAGATGAACTGTAAATGTGCAGGCGTCAGGGCCGGGAACGACCGAGCGATTGCCAATCGCTTGGGGGACAGTGACTAATGCGGGAATCCTTGATGGGAGGGAGAGGGGTTTCTTACTGGAGGCAGCGGCTGACAAAGTCCAACAATCTTGGGTCTTGGTCCTTGAGCAACAAGTGAAGCGTGGAACTCGTCGCAGCCTCTCCGTCGTTGGGGTTCAGTGGCTTCCCCAGAGGATCTGTGGGAGCCGAGCACGGCGGTAAGAAATGGCGTCGCACCCCCTCGCTTGCAACACACCCAGTAGCGCCGCGGTGCACCGACACGGCCCGATGGGAGCGCATCCCGCTGATCGTCGCAGAAGTGCGCCGCTCAAATCTGATAGGGCCAACCTGATTATTACTGCGGTGCACTGACCGCACTAAAATTACGCGCCCTCTGCTTTCAAGTGGACTTTAAAGATCCTGCGATGGCATTGGGAAAGAGTCGGTCGTTGTATGCGCGCATCAGAGCCCAAATTTTGCCAACATTAAAAAAAAACGACACTATAAATCACCCGGTTAGATTTACAAATCAGTACCGGTCACCCACAGACTACTGCAGGCTGTATAAAACTGTGGGCCCCTTCCTTAGCGACGAAAGCCTCACGCAAGAATAACGACAGAGCAAATACCAAATTTACGAAAACATTAATTTTGATAACAACGCTATCAGGAAAACAAAAAGTTCCCTGGACTCTGATCTAACTTTCATGATGCGTGCGTCGAATTAAAAAAACATGAGAACTTAAACAGCTGAAACAACAAAGGTGAATCACTGTGGAGTGTTTGGGATCATCAGGCATGTGCATGAGTGGAAGAAAGGGGACACTTAGATCCGTTGTTGATTGTCGGGTTCGATCACAAAATGATCTGACCACGTGTTTGTCATTAAGACTCTCGCCGTTGTCACGTGGTGTACAGGCATTGATCGCCAACTTTTCTGGATTGTATTCTGACTTCCTGGGCCTTGTCCTGAGGATGCTTGACACAGTTTCAAGTGAGAAGTTTTCCTCACCTAATTGCTGTCAGATTTGCCTATTTATGAGAAATTATCTTAAACTCCCCCCCCCCCACGCACGGGCGTTTGAGCTGAAATAGTCGGCGTGTCGCGAATTGCTCATACGCCACACGCCGGGTGATGGAGGGTTCTTTAAGAGACACAAACATTTGGCCAGATCATGACAGAGTTGCCTTACCTGAAAATCAATGACGAATCATGATGCGGAAGCAGAAGGAATTGAATGTACCAAGAGAGCCCCCCCAGAACTATAACAGCCCTGAGCCCCTATCGAACTTTATACTTTCTATCGCTCATCCCTCCCACTCACCAAAGTACTTCTGTCTGCGGGGAGCATTGTTCACGTAGTTTTTCGGAGGCATTCCCAGGACCTACACACAGTTCACACAAAGACAAGGGTCACCCAGATAACCTCAACGGCCTGTCGTGGCAAATGCTGCTCGTGAGTGGCACCAAATAAGGGCGGCACTTTACACGCGACGCCAACCACTCATTTAAGGCCGAGTCGACCGCGTGGCGGCCTAGGATGGTTGATACTTTCACGAAAATATCTCTGACACTTTCTACACACAACACCGGCCATTCGGGAGATCATCACGTGGCATAAACCCGCAAACAAACAGGGGATTGCAGCAAAAGGCGTGTGGACAATACCTCTATGCAGGACTGGAGGTATTCCGTGACATTCTTGGCCTTGAATAACGGCCTTCCAGTGGCCATCTCCACCACCATGCAGCCGAGTGCCCACATGTCGACTGTGCACCTTAACTGGTAGCCCAGCAACACCTCCGGAGCCGTGATGCTCAGGGTGCTGCAGACATCTGGGGCTGCATGCCGCAAAGACAAAGAACAACAAATCCTCGTTTAACCTTTAACAGCATCATCGCACCGCAGTGCCGTCACACACACGTGTACACACAGAAACACACTGGTACACACGAGCCCCCTATAGCCTTTAATAGACTGTTGTGGCAATTGCTGTGAGCGAGCAGCACCTATGAAGGGTCACATGGCACACGAGGGGGTGGTGTGGCCGGCGCCACGCCCCGGCTGCCTTTGTCTCCACAGTGCTGGATGTTTACACAACGCACCAGGTGCTCGATTAAGTCTGAGTCGATATAGGGGAGGCCCCCAGGATCGGTTCAAATATTCACCACGGTTTTTAGTCATAAGTGGGACAAGAACGTGGGTTCCTGTGTTCACAGCGTAGCGTGTCAAGCACTGCGTCAAACCCTCGCCGCACTCGCACAGACAAAGTTGAGCGCTCAGTGTGAGTAACCTCGAAGACGCCGCCACAACTCGCGGTTTCACACGCTCCTCACGGTGTCACACGCTCTCCTGTGCTTACAGACGCACGCAGTTAAGGTCACTCACGTTGTTGTCCCACGAAAAAGCTGGACTCAAAGTCGATGAGCCTCACGGTGCCCGCCACGGTGTCTTTGAGCAGTACGTTGGCCTAGACGAAGAGAGGCAAACAGGGATTCGCATTCAGAGGTTACGCTAAGAGCATTCAGCAACCAGCAGTGGACTGTTCTTGTGCCAAAATACATTAAACAGATGGCGTGACGCGGTGCCGCCCAGGTAAGTCACAGCGAAGCTAGATGTTTCCTGAAAGCTGCCACTTTCAAATGTGTTGAGATAAGATGTCAGCTGCACTCTGAGATGCCCCAATGTAGAGAGTGGCTCCATCAACAATAAATAATGATAATCATGACTACTGCTACTCCTACTACATGAAGGTTAGAGCCACCGGCAGAAGTGAGTGTTAACGAGTTGAGGGAAAAACAAAAACACACTTGCACGGACCCAGTTAATGCTTTCTACCACGTGCTCAAACGCGTTTGACATCTTTGCAAGTCGTTCACTTCATTCACGTTTCATTGTCTCCCAAGATGCCGGTAACACTTTGAGCAACGTGTCGTCCGGTTTTCTCTCTGGAGCGAGTCCCTAAACAGCAAAAAGGCGACTTGGAACCGAAGTTGCGCTGAGCGCCGTGTCCACTCACCAGCTTGAGGTCCGCGTGGACGATGTTCTTAGAGCGGAGATGGCGCAGGGACTTGAGGATTTCCTTGGTGTATGTTTTCACCGTCTCCATCTCCAAACCCTGGAGACTCGCTGCCTTTGTGACTTTCCTGAGGCTGTCGCTGTGAACGAGGCAGCAAGCAAATTGCATTTGTCAGGGCTAGGGTGAAGCGCTAATTCTAGAAGAAATTATTATTATTATTTACATTGTTCAAGGCACAGCAGACCCAACAATGTGCTTCAGAGTGCCATACAGTGAAATATGTACGTATATTTTTAATCTCTATTTTATCTACATATCACACGAGATGTAAGGTTTTAGGTTTTTCTTTTTAAATGGGAGAATCGCTGAGGTCAGGCGCAGTTCTTCAGGCAGAGAGCATTTCAAATCTCAAGGCCTAAGAGCGAAAAGTCCCGGGCTTTGAAACGTTTATTTTCCAAAAGTGCAGCTGACAGATCGGCATGGTCATGGTGTGTGAGGACCTCCACACTCCTAGAAGGTAAAAGTTCCCATGGTAGCTCTCCAGGACTCTCCCCTAGTGACAGAGCCAAACAAATACATGCGTCTCGTTAGCAAAATGTTCCAAATGATTAGTTTTCTTTTCAAATGTATGTTGAATTTATTTTGCACCACATGTAGCCAACCGCGCTAATTGGTTGGCTACGTACGGTACCATTCGGTTTGGTGGAATGTTAAATCTGAGCTCTGACGCTGGATGTCATCTACAGTAAAACGTCGATTGTGTAAAATATGATTTCATTTATGTCTTTCAACATTCAACTGGTTTGTTGAAAAAACTAAATCAGTCGGCATATTTGTACACGTGACAACTCAGTTTGTTTGGCTCTGTCGGGTGGTGGAGGGCGACAGTTAAAATATTGGCAATTAAACCGACACATTCTAACCCCCCAAAAAACTAATTAACTATGAATCATGAGGAGGACAATAATAATGTATTATTTTTAGACTTGTTAACCCAGAAATCTCTCAATGAGTCTTGAGACTCTTTTAGTCCTGCCAGGTTTTTGCAGTCAGGGGGTAGGGGGGTCGATGTTGCTGCTGAGTGCGATTCCACTCTGAGTGATTTGCCGGTGACATTTCAGCATTGGGATGTTTGGACCGATACCGGATACATCGTGTTTGTTTTGTTTTTGTTTAGCCATGCCGGGACATCAAAAAGCCCGGAGGAAACACGCGCAGAACGAGGGAGAGAACATAGCGACTTGACACGTGCTCACACTCAAACCCTCACTCAAAAAAGGGAAAGCTCCCCCGTATAGCCTGAACACAATGTTGGGGCAAGTGCTGTTGAGCGAGCACCTATTAAGGCGGGCGGTTGGCCAACACCACGTCCGACCGCCTTTGTCTCCCCAGTGGTGATGATTTTACACACCGCACCAGGCACTCATGTGAGGCTGAGTCGACCTAGGGGAGGAGGCCCAGGACCAGTTAAGATAATCGTCGCTAGTGTTGCCCGTGAGCGGGAATCGAACTCCCATACTCTTCTCACTGACACACCCACACACTGCACTCACAGACTTACAGTCTACAGAACTGAGTGAGGATGTAAAAAAATCCACACAGAGAGGTGCCCGAGTCAGGATTCACACCTAGGCCCTCCTTGCTGCGAGGCACGAGGGTTACCAATGTACCGCCGCCGCCCTGCTGATCGAGTGGGCAAGACGACGCAAAAAGTTGTCAGGGCTGACAGAGAGGAGAGAAGCTTGCAGCCCAATGTGTGCAACGTAGATAATGTGCATCCCCAGACAAATGTCGGCTTCACAATGTCACAACGTATGCGGTAGCGAGGGCGCTGCAAAACAACGACGCTGCCAGATGCGCTGCTCCCTACCCCAGCAGCTCCATGACGATGCAGAAGTGTCTCCTGAACCAGAAGTGATCCAGGACATGGATCGTGTTGGAGTCTTCATTGTCTTGGTCTTGAAGTGCTGATGCAATCCGGCTCCCCATCCCTTCGGAATTCTGGTACCTGGCACTGAAAATAGGAAGTCCACAGTTTCACTTGATTAATAATAATGACAATAATGACTTATTAGACTTGCAACGTGCTGCAGTCTTCACACGCTCCCGACGCGAGAGAGAAAGATGCTGACACAGGCGCGAGATGATTTACAGACAAGCGAGGAGGCAGCAACAAGGCGGTGAGCCATTGCCAACAATTGCCCAAGCTCGGAGGTGCTTTATATATTAATCCTTTATCGGTAGAGAGGCTCCCAGA